GGAATCCCTTAAATGAGTCTATTGGAATCTTTTCCAATCAATCTAAAGGCACGAACTATAACTGGAATGTCGATCTTTTCATGTGCCACATTTTTGAGATTTTGATTTCAAGGTGCTTCAAAGATACATTGCCTCTGCAGGGACTGCTATGTTAATAAGAACGCACATTTTGTCTTTGCAGTCTCTAATCAGAAAGATTGGTCGATTAGTTTTGATTATTCTCTCTGCATGTATTGTAAAGTCACATAAAATTGTTTTTTCTCCGTAACCGGGTCTGGGTGGTGTTCATACCAAGTTCTTGCAATTTCTTTTCGGTAAAAGTTGCAGCTTTTCCAGTGCAGACATTGACCACTCTATCATGCCGAGTTTATAATTCATTGGATGCCAATACCGCGCAACCTGATACAAGATGGTTAATTGTTTGTAGATTTTTATCAAAAATCTGTATTTTGGGCTAACACAGTTTTCAGTATGTGTGCTTGGAAATTTCTTATAAGCAATCATTGGTTCTGTGCAGCAAGAATAAAACTTTTGGTTTCAGCTTTTAACCCTACACTACGTAAGAACTGATGAGTAAGGGGTTTGTCTACATCAGATTGTTTGGTACGGGCAGAGTATTGACCGTGAAGAGGTTTATCTTATCATTGTTTCTGCATTTGCCTTTGCTTCCTTTTTAAAATATTTTGCAGCTGCATCCGGTGATTTTTCCTTTGATTTCTGGTGTATACCCATTTCTTTCCGGGTCCCGACCAGAGACATAAGGTCAGAAATGGCATCACGACATTTTCCAATGAGCAGTTTTGAAAAGAAAAACATTGTTTTATCTCCGTATTTACTTGTATTTCTTCACCCATTTTGAACTTGCTGGCTTCATTTATTACTGAATAATGTTTATTTCTTTCATGTTCTTTGATACAGATCATCATCCAGTCTTCTGTAGTTTCCAGGTATCTTTGAAGGTCAATTGTTGTAGTTTTGTAAGTCAATTTTAGTTAAGCTAAACTTCTAACTCCTTTGGGTACATACAGACAATTAGCATCAGCTTTTGGATGATGCATGCGGTGGCAGGTGAAAAGCTTTCTTGTTTTGGCGTCCATTCGCTTAATTTCAGCTATGGTCCAGATAAGGATCTTGAAACAGGGACAGGCAAAGTGTTTATGGCTAATATTCTGTTTTTTTCATTTCAGCTCGGTATTAAGTACGAGACGCACATGTCTGTAATACTCCTTTCTTATCTTCTCCTTCATTTGAGTATGCTGTATTCCATCTCTATCACTTATTCCTAGGTACCTATAGTCTTCTTCTTCTTGTTCCTGTTCCCTAATCTTTGTGACAAAGTCTAAATCTATTGAGCGTTTTTCTGAAATTCTCCCTTTCTTGAATGTTACTTTTGCACATTTATCTAATCCGAAGTCCATACCAATCTCGTCACTGAAACATTTTACAATATTGAGGAGGCCCTTCAACTCAATGTCGTCTTTGACAAATTATTTGGGATCCCTTATGTAAATTAGGTGACTGAATACTTGTTTAATTTGTGTCTATTATTATTATTATTCCTTTGATTTCCGGTGTGTATACATTTCTTTCCAGATTCCGCTTAGAGATCTAATTTCAGAAATGTCTTCATGACATTTTCCACTGAGCAATTTAAAAATAAAATCACACATATTTTGCATAGATAAAGCCCTTTGTAAGGTGTGTGCTGTACTCGTGAGAACAACTTTAAGGTATGGGCTGCCAGGAATCCCTTAAATGAATCTATTGGAATCTTTTTCAACCAATCCAAGGGCTCCAACTACAACAGGGATACTTGATGTTCTCATGAGCCATTTCGATTTCAAGATCCTCGTATTTTGATATCTTTTTGAAGATCTCCAAAGATACATTGCAGTCTGCAGACACTGCCATATTAATAAAGAGGCATTTTTTTGTTTTGTTTACGGTCTCTTATAACGATGTCTGGGCGATTAGCTTTGATTGTTCCTTATTATTATTATTATTATTATTATTATTATTCGTGTCTACTTGATTCTTTTACGAACTGACTCCAAGATTCAAACTGAAATTTTATGAGACTGCAAGTCAACAGATTAGGATTGTTGGTACAGTTGGAAGGATACGTATTTGACATCCTCTGCATAACCTTTCTTAAGAGCATGAATTCAAATGATTGTCTATAGTCGATTAATCATTCATTTAATGTGAGTGCATGAATTAAATTAATCACAGTTAAAACGTGTAAGCAGATTAAATTTCGAGTCTAAGAAACTAAAACTCTATCCTGAGTGTAAAGTTCAGTTAAGTCACTTAATAGACTTTAAAATAAGAAACTATATATATATATATATATATATATATATATATATATATATATATATATAAAACAGAGTATGTCTGTGTGTCTTTCTTCCTGTCTGTCTTTATATCTGTGTGATACCTTTTCACTCGAGATCCATCCAACCGATTTTGACCAAACTTGGCACATACATTGTATAATGTAAGAGATAGGTTATATTTTTTTTTAAATCAAAAATCGATAAAGCCGATCAAAAATCAATAAATTCATATTTTTTCCCCGATTTCGTTTAAACTCGGTATGTAGGTTACTTACATCATGATGAGCTCAACGAAACCTCATTTTTTTTATTTCTTTAGCGGAAAACCGCGAAAAACGAAAAATCGCGAAAAACAAAAAATAGATTTGAACGCAAATCAATTTCAACACAAATTTTAAACTAAAAACTCCCTCAATTTTCAAGCAATCTAATACAAACTTCACTCAATTGTAGCCAACAATAAGTTGATTATTTAACAGTCATTTAACTTGATAATTGAGTCCACTCATCGTGAAAACCCGCGTAAATAGCGAAAAAAGGTGATTTTTACTGGTTTCTTTCTTATTTTTCGTTGATCTTTCAACCAATTTTCATCAAACGGAAAAATTACTTTATAAATGTATACTCTTTTACATGGTAGCACACTGAAAAATTGAATTTCAAAAACTCCAAAATAATTGTGGTCTGAAGTGGGTCTTCATGTTGCCTGTTTTACCCCTTCATGTCCTTGGTTCACTTCGATTGAATAAATACAGACTTTTGTTATATCAATAACTGCATTCAGAATGTTTTTTAGTGAAAGTACTTTAAAGTAATTGAAGATAGACTCTATTACATCTAAACACTCTTCCCAGTACTGATAGGAGTTTCGTTCCTAACATTTAATTTAGGTTAATGTGGAAAGTCATCATCCAGATTATATCATTAAATGTAGTTATATGTAAAGTACAGATTGCTCTTTAAGAAATCAGGGATCGATTTGACACTGTATTTATATTGGGAACAAGAACTCATTCTACAATAGTTACATAAAGATTGAATGCTAATCAATAAAAGTTATTCCAGCAAAAAACAGTTTTTTTAGGAGCAGACCAGTTTTGAAGTGAAGCGACTACATCAATAGCTGCATCTACTGCAAGAAAAGTTGGGTAACTGTGTCGTGTCAAAAGTTTTTTTTCCTCGTCTGAGTCCATCTTGTACATTTATAAAGCTACCATTCGGCCGTGCATTGAATACTGCTGCCATATCTGTTCTAGTGCTCCTGCTACTCATCTCGAGGTTCTTAACAAAATCCAAAGAAGGATCTGCAATTTAATCGATCCTGACTTGGCATCTCGACTTCAGTCACTTTCTCACCTACGCGACGTGGCTTCCCTCTGTCTTTTCTACAAATATTTTCATGCAAACTACTCTGACGAGCTTTTTTTTTCCTGGTGCACCGACTGCATGAATTTAAGCGGTCTACTAGATTGGCATCTAGTTTCCACCCTTTTACTGTTGAATAGCTAAATGCAACAGGCATTTCTACTCAAACTGTTACTTTTCTCGCACTTCCCGCCCGTGTGATTCCCTTCCGCTTAGTTGCTTCCTTGATAATGACAATCTTCAAAAATTTAAATACAACGTCGATACCAATCTTATATCTGCCTGAATCCCGTTTATCTTTTGTCCTTTCCTCAATCCTCCCTAAACTCAGCCTTTCCTCTCACTTTCACTCCCTATAACCTCTGCGTACTAGTGGCATTCCCACCTTGCTTGGGGCGAAATGATTAAAAAAGAAAACTTAACTTTTTCCGAAGTAGGTCTGCAAGTCTGCAACTTTCACCGTTGTGCCAAACACACTTCCTGGGCCGTTGTTCAGAAGGCAGGGCGGTTCTGAGTAGATCTCACAAAACTACTTGAGATGATGCAACAGATGTGAAAAACCTTCCAAAACCTTCGTATCTGGAAATGAAGCTTTTGAGAACCTGAGGTCGAAAGCTATAGAAACATATTGTAGCAGACTTGGTTACGGAACATGGTCAAAGATAGACAGGCCACAGCTGATGTTACTTCAGCCAAAAGCAAGAGCCAAGTTTTAAGAAGTTGAATTTAAAAGAATGCATTCTCACATTCCACCTTTAACAGCACTTGAAAACTATAATATATATATATATATATATATATATATATATATATATATATATATATATATATATATATAGTTTGCCAAAAATGTATACACACTTCAGGAAAGGAAAAACTTGTGTAGATATAATACTAAAT